TTAAGGAAAGTATATAGACTTTATTATCATAAAAACAAAAAGTTTTTTGAGAATATCTGTTTTTTGGGTTGGCAAAAAGATCAGCGGAAAGAGTTTAGTATATATAATATTGTTTTAAAATTGTTTTTCGATATTAGCTAGATATAAATATGTAGGCAAGTTAGTATTTAACTTGTTGTATTTTTGTATACAAAAAATACTATTTCTTTTACAATATATATCTATTATTATATTAATAAATAAAGAAATAATATTTACTTATCAAAAAAAAAAAAAAGAAATAGTAAATATTTAAATAATAAAGATATTATAAAATAGATTAATAGTATTTTTTTTTTAAGTTTTATGATTTTATAATCAATATTTAATTTTTTAAATATTTTGTTTTTGAAAAAAATCTTTGATAACTGCTTCCAGAATTAAAAAATTAATTGTAAATATTATTTTTATACTAATAAAAAAATTATAAAAAAAAATATTTAATTTTATTGATTATTGTTTAATGAATTTATTTATTGTTAATAAATAAATAATTTATTATTTTTAATAAGCTTTTTGTTTTTAAATTTAAATTTAATAATTTTATTATATAATAAAAAATTTTTTTAATAATTATAATCTTTAAATTCCTTTTTTTATTTATTGTATATCAACATTAATTGTCTAGTTGGAAGTTATTTCTAATGACGATATTTATATTTATCTAAGACAATACTATCTAAGACAATTTTATAATATATTGGTTACTAGTAATATCCAGAATTGCTTCAAATAATAATATTTGCTATAGCTTGTTTCTAATTTATATTAGATATAGAGACTAATTTACTGAATAAAGAAATTTTTTTGTTTGGTCAGTAGTATGTATTTTCACTAGTAATTAGATTTTATTTTTAACTAAAAAAGAATTAAGAGAAAGTTGAAAAAGGGCACCAAAGATAATATTAATAACAAATAAAGCTATACAATTCCTATTTGCTTTATCAAGAATAAATCTCTTTATTACTATTTATAACTAGAGCTCCTAACAATACCACTTTAATATCATTTTGATACCAGTTCGATACTTAAATTTACTATAAAAACATATGAGTAGGTCACAACCCATATATTAAATTTACTATAGATCAGTACCATTTCGATACCAGTTTAATACTAGTTCAGTATTTTTTCGAAGCCCTATTTATAACTAGACTAACTATTTAATTTCTTACCTGTTTAAATAATACTTAAGAATATTTAAGGTAAACCTATAATTGATTCTTACTGCTTGAATATTAATTTATGTAACTTTGCATAAAGCAAGTCTTATTGTCAAATATCTTCTTAGAATAAATCTACCAAATTAGTTTATTACTAGATTGAAATAAGACTAAAGCAGGGATTTGTGTAAAAAATGTCAAATATTAGAAAAGTGATTATCAAGCCTACTTATTGAAAGAAAACATCTTATATACCTTACAACTCCTGATGATTATTGTAATACCAATTGGATAATCATTATGTCATAACACCATTTCTGGAAATTATAATCTCAGTGTCTATTGGATCAGCATGTAAAATGGTTTTTCATAAAAAATAACACTTTTACAGATTATGGCATCAGATATTATATTAATTATATTCAATTACTCTTGTATAAAATTGAACTGGTATCTTATGATTTAATATAAGAGCACTAACCACTATACTATGGATCTACAGATTTTATTATAATCTTTAAATATATAAATAAGAAATATATAAACAATATTTTGTTCTATTAATTATTTACAAAATTATAAATTAAAATAAAATTCAAAAAAAAGTCCAAAAACTTTTGTAACAGACTGTAATTGATTTTGAATTTTTTAACATAATAAGTATCTTATATCTAATGTTTTTATAATAATAAATAAATAAATAGCTAATAAAATCAAAATAATATATTTGTTTTTTAATAATTTTAATATATTTTAATCTTTATAAACTTTATTAAATGTTGTATTAAAGAAATAACTTTTATTAATACTTAAAATGTATTTATAAATATTTATTAATTTTAAGTGTTTGTTTGTTATATAGATTTTAAAATTTTACAAGTAAAATTCCATATTAAATAAAATTTTTTATTTCATGTATTGTTTTATTATAAAGATTTAATATGTAGCAATAATTTGAATAAATATAAATTCAATGAAAATATTTTTTAAAAAAAAATTTTTTTTAATAATGTGCAATCATTCTTTTTTATTTTTAAAAATAATATTTTTTAAATATTAATATTATATAAAATTTTAAAAAAAATCATAAACATATAAAATATACAGTATATGGATTGAATTTACGGCATATTGTTTCTGTAAGTTGTTTTTAAAACAGTAATAACTCAAATTAACATGAATGGAAAAATTTAAAGTTTAAAATATTTTCAATTTTGGCAAAATGGAACGTGCTATAACAACAGGAAAAAAAAACTAAAAATCAACGGTGTTTTATATCAGGATTTGACATTCTTAAAATGGTTTAAAAATTTAATAACATATTTGGGGCGATTCTCTTAAAGATCAATGTAGGTAGAGTATACCCACTTCAATATTTTATTTTTTAATAAATTAATAATAGAATAGGACATTGATGTAACAAAGAAAGTGAATGAGTCGAATATATGTCAAAAAGATAGGAACAAATGAAGTATTAAAAGAATACCGAAAAATATAGAGAATTTCGCAAAATAAAAAGAAGTCACAAACAAGTATGGTATGCCTTAAAATCGTCTTGACCAGGGTTTACTGCTTAAACTGTTAACCAGAAGTTTACAGTATGTTAGATATTTAGGCGTCGCGCAGTAGTCAAATTTAAATTCCTTATTTACATCAGATAAGTTAATTCTTTATTTCTTTTTCAGACGCAAAAGTCTCTTCATACAATAATGTATATATAATATGTTAGAGTTCCTAGAAAAGATGCGTGTTAAAAATTCAATGTAAAAATCTTGGAAATTATTAAATCAAACCCTTTTATATCAAAATTACCTTTAACTGCACTATTCCTACATTCGGAAAAACAGTGTACCCAATAATATCATCCCATAGCCTGCGATATTCATTATTATAAATTTACTGGTGTCCGATTGTTCGCCACCTGAGGAAGTAAAATTGGAAGATGAATTTGAAACAGTGTTTGGTGTGATAATGGGCATATCCGTGTTTGTGGGTTCTTTCGGTATTACGGGATTGGGGTTGTCGGTAGTCGCATATCTACAGTATTAAGATTATTATCGTGTTGAGACCATCATTGTATAAATATATTTTACCCAGTTCTTTAGTAGAAAAAAAAACTTACCCTATGAAAGACAATTATAATCACATGTACATAAATAATTGTTAATTTTCATTGTTAAAAAATCCGCATAATTTATAAAACTCGGAGCTAACCAATCGAGTTCATAATTGCCCTTAGACGTGGTCCAATAGCCCCACCCGAATAATTTCCTCCTTTGATGATCAAATCTTCAATGGTGACTCCCGATTCCAGCGAATATCTCATTAAAAAATCATTTGTATTCGTATATTTCGCTAAGCTAACGTGGCTAATACTTGAACCAGAGGAGTAAACCTTTAAATTAGTTTCCAAATATGTGGCATTAGCCAATGTACCGCCCCTGGGGACAAACACAAAAGTATTAGCTACAGTTGCTTTCTTTATCAGATATTGTGCAACGGATTTCCACTGTGGTGATCCCATTATCTGAGAGGTAAGTACATTGATATTTGGAAATATAGTATTAAGTGGTCCAAATTGATTTAGTTGGTTAGTGAAGTAGGATATTGGGAGAGGTTTGGTCCCTGATGGATCAGACTTGTCAGGTAGAATCATTATAAATTTGTCAAAAATGGTTTCAATAAATCCGGAGAATTTTAATGGATCATTAAATGTGGGGTTGGTCGAGTTGGAATCTAACATGGGAAAGGCGGTGATGCCTTCACTGGGCTGTCCTAGGAGCAGGTCGAAATAATCTCGGTAACTTGAAGAGAAGCCAAGGCCATGAAATAGCTCGTGAAGAATGACGGTGTGGAAGTTAGATTGTTGAGGACCTATTGGTCCATCTCCCTGAAACCAGAAATCGGCACCTTCATCGAAATTTAAAGATCCGCTACAATAAAACACGTATTAAAGACAGACAGAATTACAAACGGATTTTTGCATACCCGAATTAAATTTTGCGAGAATATCTGTAGGACTATAATCAGGATGCACGGAATATTGAAATTGTTTAACAAGCGCCTGTGGGTACATTCTTGGGACACTGTCTTCAGATACTATAGGCATTAACCTCGTTGGGCTTGCAGCACCTAATAATCTTGGATCATTTAAATCCAAGAAGTTAGCGTCTATGACAATCGGCGCTTTAAATATGAATGCTGCTGTGATAATCTTTCCAGCCGCCTCGAAAGCCGATTTGGCCTTTTTACATAATGTCGTATTAGTCTCTCCGCAAGTGAACTGCAGCACAAACATATTACTGCTGTTACCAGAACTCAAATCATTTTGGAAATTCGTGTTGGAACCTTTCAGCCTGGCTTTATTAGGGCATGGTTTTATTATGTGTTTACCAAAATCTAATGGATCCGAATAGTCGATACATTGCGGCACTGCCGCGGTTGGGGAAAAATCCGAATTAGAGGTTGAGGTGGAAGTCGTGAGTATTGGTGTGATTGTGGTGTGATAGAATATTAGAAGTCTAATCAAAAATATTATGCTTTGGAGTGACTTCATTATGTTCTATTAATTGCTATTATCCGTTGTCTCTTCCAAGATTCTACGGTGCTTTCTTTCTAAATGAATGGCATAAGTGCAGGCTGTTAGTAAAAGTATAAAATAATGAAAAGGTTAATAAAGGTACTTTCTGTAACGCATTCATTTATAGAATTTTCGAAATTCAACCGTAATACAATATTTTGTACCTTATTTGGACAGTTCTTTAATTAGATGCATTCCATGCAGTCATATTTTACCAATGTGAGATTTGTACCATCATAAAATAAGTATGTTTATTATTTAGTTTCCTCTTCTATATAGCACGCGCGGGGAGAATGAATTTTTAACTTATATGAATGCTTGAATGCCTATAGCTCCTGGAAGATCCCGGCAAGATATAACATCGCCCCTGATTAGGCCCACAATTACATTATTATATTTATAACCACTTTAGAGACTGTTTCGAGTCCTACTCGCCAGTAAAACATCAGTGGTAAGGACGCCGATAGAGAATGGAATGACCAAGATGGATCATAGGTGAAAATTTTTATTCCGCGTAGCCAAAAAGTTATACGCTTGCCCAGTAGCTGAATTTGTTCCTCTTAGAAATAATGGATATATGGTTATAAAAGAAATAAATAAATTATGATAATAGTAAGGGCCCAAATACGCAAATACAATTTGATGTCACGAGTATAGTCCACAAGGACATCACGTTATAGTCCAGAGAAAGTATAGGCATTAATGTATCAACTTTTTAGCAGACTTAAAACCTTGGAGCTCGTTATAATCAATAGGAATTGCTTTTCTACATCATCGTCTTGATTGGTACCGATTTGGTTTCAATTAAAAAAAAATGTGACTAATGAATTTGGTGGGGTTTTTTTTTTCGGAAATCTTTTTTTGATGTCGATACTAATGGCACTAATATAATTAGGTAAATTAATTGGAAAATCAATACTCCCGGAAAAATAAAAGCAGAAACATTCGATTCGAGATGATTTTGCTTTAACCAAAAAATAAAATGAATCGAGATCTTTATTAAAAAATATAAACACTCAAAAAATATACGTTCATGTTATGCTGTGTTTTATGAAAATAAATAAAAATAAATTTGAAATTTAAACAATTCAAAGTATAAATAAGATTTGAAATTCGTAAAAAAACAAAAATAGAAATACGCTTTTTTAAAATACGCGCAAATGAAAAAATCAAATCGTATCGTATCTAGCGCATTTTTTATAAATGTATAATTAATTCGTATAAATTTTCATAACAGATAAAGTTTTATATTATTATACGATAATAAAATATACTGTATAAATATTATAAAAAATACAAAAAATAAATAAATTATATACAGTACTTTAAATAGTATATAGCAAAAGTTTCATATTTGAAAACTAAAAATTAAATAGACTGACTATATTAGATTGTTATTATTTCTTATATTATTTTAATTGATTTGAATATATATTTGATATTTACAGATAACAAAAAAAATTAAATTATATGATACATGTGAATGTATTAAAGTACTATTTAAAAAAATTTAATTGATAATATAATTTTAAATATGAGTATAAAGATTGATTATATTGATATTTTAATAATTATAATTAATTAATTTATAGGTCAATAGTATAATAAATAGTATTTTCAAATCTTCAAATATATATTATTGGTTTAATATTTACAAAAAACAAATAATATAAATATTCTTTATATATAAGTTTATTGGTTTTCTATATATATTATATTCAAAATAAAAAACCAATTAAATTATATAAAAATATAATTTCTAATCTTTTTTAATAATTATAGACTAAAATAGCTTTAAATAGAAAAACTATATTAAAAAAGTTTTCTGATCTAACCTTTATAAAAAAAAAAACCAATATTTTTTTTGATATAATATATTCTATAATATAATATATCAATATGAAATAAAGATATTTTTGAAGAGATTGTTAATATAAACATTTATATATAAAATTTTTAATATTATTAAATAAATAAAAATTATATTTTGCTTAATATTTTTATTTCTAGATTTGATAACATAAATTAGTTGAAATCTTTAAAACATTTATTAAAAAATTTGAAATTATATCTTATTAGATCTTAAAATTTCTAAATTTAATAATATACTATATATTGATTAAAATTTTAAACCAATATTAAAACAGTATTAAAAATAATTATAATAAATTTATTATATATTT